GGTGTGAATGTGTGTGAATGGGTAACTGGTTGTTTTGTAAAGCACCTTGGGGAGTTCCAGGGTTCTAGAAGGCACTATATCAAATACAGGCCATTTACCTTTTTTTCTGTATTTTCTGTTATCAGGTGATGCCTCTTCACCTAAACCCATTAATCTCATCCTATCTCACGGGCCCAATCCCTGTAGGCCACCATTGCCCTTTAATGGATCCCAAGCCCAGAAATCAGATTCCTTCTTTGGTTTCTAGAAGATGTTTCGGTTCTCATCCGAGATGCTTTGTCAATTCTGACTGGAGTTGCGCTCGTCAACCGTAGCTGCCTGTTGTTGTGTGAACGAGCTGAATCATCTATGAAATGCCCCTCCTCCCTAGCCTCTGATGAGTTTTTGAAGTTGTTAGCCCCTATTGTGCAGGAATGGCTGTTTTGATTAAACGTCGGAGGGGGTGACCTAGACTGACCCTTTGGATTACCATGATCTGGCTAACAGAAACTTCACCTGGACGTTCTTTATCATTTCCAAAGGCATTCACAAATGTATTCACTTTTATTTCTTTACCAACGTCCCATCTAAATAAGATAACACTCTGGCTTGGATAATAGCATTAATGTCATGACTCGAGGTAAGTGCCTAACCCAAGACATGCATCACTCGAGAATCATCACTCGTCGGGCAGAATAGGTCAAGTAAAGTTCTTTATTACAAAACGGGAACAGAAACAGCACAGGGAAGTCCTGCGAGAGTGAGCGGTGCAGCTCTAGTCCTTGTAGCATTCGGGATGAACGAGAGAGGAGGGGAAGCCGGGGTGAGCGCTCCGGGAGGGGTGAGGTAGCAGAGGGAATCCAAACAGGAACAACGGAGGAGGATGGGACGTGGTCTATGAGATCCAGAGTTCATAGACAGCAATGGTGGAGCAGGTGATGTGAGGATCCTGGGGAGAAGGAAAACAAACGCCAGACATAAGGGGTCATCCAAAAACGTAGTCCAAAAACACAGTCCGGGGTCATAAATCCAAGAGACAAGAAACGAGTCTAAACACGAGCAAACTAGAACAAGACAAGTGGCTGGGGCTACCTAAACTGGTGCAATCATCCGGCACAGTGAGGTGTCTCCATCCTCCTTTTAAACCCTGATTTCCTGATTTGGAAATCTCCTGCAGCTGCCGCTCCCTCTGCTCCTCACCTGTGGAGAACTCAATACTGATGAGAGGAGATGGTGTGACTCACCTCTGCCCAGGTACTTGACAGTTAAGAGCTTAAGCATCCTAAACCACACCAGTCCATCTACCTGAGGCGTATCCGCACACATAAACCTGGTTTTAGCAGCTCTTGTTTGACCGTATTAATATGCTCTTTATTCTCATCACAGTTAACTGGAGTTGGCACAGATATGTATCAAATACTCACAAGTCCTTGAATCGTTTTCTTGAAATTCCTTGTGTTTGGTAAAAACAAATAATTTTGATAAACCTTGGTTTGCACTCATATAAATTTGGGTTTCAGCTCAAAGAAAGTGAGCAAAACTTCAAATATATAAAGGAAAATACCCAGCTAGACATTTAATTCTTTTTTTCCTTGGAGCTTTCAGCAGAGAGAGACCTAATCATCAATACGAGCGTTCAGTTTCCCGTCCGGCTCCCAACCTTTCGCTTATCAGTAATGAAATGGTCCCCCGTTCCCTGTGGGCCTCTCGAGTTCCTCTGATAAAGAACCATAACTCTTTAGATGGTAACCACAGCAGATGTGCCCCTTCCCTGCCTTCTGCTGAATAGGTTTCCTAAGATCATAATGCATTCATTTCATAAAGGCTTGGATTGTAAATCAATGAAAATAGAACGTTTATTTATTTATTTTTTTGATTTGGAGAGAAGATGTGGGCTAAAGCTGCTCATCAAATGTGACAGGTGGGTGTCAGATGAGTCATCAATTACTGGAGCAATGATTGTTTTCTCCAAAACTCTCTCACAACCTCAAAACATTGCAAGAATGGCATGATCTCATCTGGAATAATAAGAGCCAAAGCAAAACCAGAACTAATGAGGTTGCATCGAACCCCTAGACTCCAGTGTGCAAAAGCAAACAAAAATGTGTGAAGATCCAAACTTTCAGTAAGGCTGAAAACCGAGGCGGTAGGTCAGCTGATGCAGGCAGGAAACACATCTCTTAGTGTAGCTGCTGCGTGGTTTTGGAGATGGTTTCAGAGTTTCTGACAGCGGTTTCTGATACTGACAGATTTGTTTTGGAAGCCGCGTGTTGCCTGGTTGATATTCATTATCTTGAAATATGACCGCCGTCAGGAGAAAAGCAAAAGCGGAATGCCTTATTGTCTTCCGCAGTTAGCCTCAAAGTAAACGCCAAGCTAAGAAAGTCGTTCCTGACCCTAAAGGGTCAACAAGCTAATTCGACTTTGAGCTTTGGCCTTGAACCTCAAAAACCTCGTCATCTACCGTTTCCGTCCACTGCCTCCACCCCCCGTGACCCTGTGACACTATCGACTGAATCCTTGATGAGGATGCTGAGGAGGTGAAATCGAGCACCCAATGATAAGATCACGAGCTCCTGCGACACGTCAGCCACCCCCGCCCTGTCCAGACAGCAGGGAGGTCCTTCTAACACAAATGCCTGCAAATTATTGTTCCCAAATCCTGGAAATGGAACTCTGTCTACTCAATCTAAACATGCGCTAGTTCACCTTAAAAAAGTTTTTTTTCTTTTTCTTTGAGAAGTAAAATCACTGATACAGACTTTTTCCTGCTGGCGCCTCCTCTTGCCTACTCGCAGGCTCGCTCTGCTGCAGAATAAAGCTTCTTTTCTTTGACAAGTTGAACAGGCAGGAAAAAAAAAGTGTTAGGTTGCTGGGCTTTTGTCAGAGGTGAGCAGATGTAGATCTTCTGAGGAGTTTTTCCAAACCAAACAAACATTAACATCAAAGCATTTTATCAAAAAGAAGAAAAAAGGCAGTTCTTAGAAATCTGGAGAATGTTTATTTTTAATGAATTTTCAAAGTGTGTTTCTGTGTAAAACTTTCTTTTCCTATATATATAGATTTGTTTTAGATATTAAATCCCTTCAGATACTCTATAACTCATTAATTTTACCATATTTGAGCTATGGTGTTGAAATATGGGGAAATAATTACAGAGCTAATATTTATCATATATATTTACTTCAAAAAAGGTAGTTTGAATAATTTCCCATGCTAACTATTATGCACCAACAAACCCTGTCTTTATCCATTTAAAAAATCTAAAATTTCACAATATTATTGGCCTGCACACACTGGTTGTAGTATATCAGACATATCAGGCTCATCTTCCACCTTATCTCCAAAGGATGTTTGCGCAAAGGGAAGGAGGATATAATCTAAGAGGAACTGGGATTTTCAAAAAAAAAAAAAAAAAAAAAAATATATATATATATATATATATATATATATATATATATATATATATATATACATGTTAGAACCAATAAAAAAAGATGTATCTCAGTAAGAGGAGTGAGTTTATGGAAAAGCCTCAAAGATAGATTAAAAAATTCATGCTCGTTGAAAATATTCAAAAAGACTTTCCGAGGACACCAAAATTAGTTTTGTCACACATTTATACTTCTTGACTGATTTCAATTGATTTGGTTTTATTCATGTTTATACCTCTTGATTTGTTGAAATTAGGATGATTCATGCAATAACTGTATTGTTTACATGCTTATTTACATTTGATATTTATGACACTGTTGATTTTTTGTAATGAACTAATGGGTAGGCTTAAATAAATTTAACCTCAGCCAATACCTTTTCGTTCCTAAATTATATCTAAAGAAATTGTTTAATTTACAAGAGGAATTTGTACATGTGATAATTATTGTTATGATATTTGTTAGATATTTATTTTCCTTTTCATGTGTTTTATATATGTTGTTATGACGGGAAAAATAAATACAAATATACTATATATATATATATATATATCTTGAGACATTTATTAATTATTAATTATATTATTGATTAATATGAGAAAATATTTGCAACAAGATTTAAAATAATAATAATTTATAGATTAAACTCACACACTAATGTATATAAATGCAACGTAGCATTTTAAATGTCCAAAACTTTGCAACAGTACATGCAAAAACCTTTTACGACTTTGACATCTCCCTAATAAATTTCTGCCAGAATAATAGGAAGAGCTACATTTAGCTAGTAACAGTGACAATTATCTGTAAATAATTATAGAATGTATCAAAAATAGTTGGGAAATAATATTTAAGGTGGTGAAAAGATTAATTAAATAAATGAAGCATGACATTTGATTACGCTGTTTGGTCTTAGGTAAACTCTGACTAGCCATTAGCTCATTAGCAAAATCTAATTATTTCTCCAAACAGAAGCAGTTCAAAGCAGCTAAAGAAAAGAGGACTTAGAATACAAGAATAAAGTCACCAGAGGAGAGTCGGTGAACCCATTCTCCCTGAGTTAGCTTTCGTCTTATACCCTCAGCAGCAAGTGTAGCGTGAGAAGCGCTCTGCTCCGCTATATTTCGAGCTTTAGTTAATTTGAGCATGGGGAATCAACGTAATTAAGTTCTGAGATGAATACTCTGAAATATATCTGTGTCCTTCCCTCCTCGTGTGCAGTAGTTTACTAGCAGAAGAGTCTAGCACATAAAGTAAAAGATAGAATATCAGACGAATCCCTAACCCCCCAATGTAATTATTTCCTATTCACATTCATTTTATTTTTCTTGCTGATGACATTAATGACTTTGAGGGAGAGAATTGGGGCTCTGTGTGTTCTTGTCTTTATTTGTTGAGTGAAACTTTCGTGTAGGAATGTAGATTTGAAAGAATGTTGAATTTGATCAAAACTGGACAAAGAATCGATAGAAAACCTCACACCAATCTGTCCGTATCTCCGATCTTTACAGCAACGGCTTACTTCAATCTCTTGAGCCCCCTGAAGCAAGAATTCACTGTAGCGTGTCCTACCCTTCTGACTTTCAGAAACTCCACTCTCGGATCATGGATCTGTCTGCGGCTGATCTGCTGCTGGAGCCGGAGAGAAGCAAGGCTTTCCTTCTTTCCAGGAACACAGACTCTCCTTCGAACGTAAGCGGAGTGAGAACAGTTCCAAAGGCCGCACATCTTTCTTTTCCATTCGGCACCACAAAAAAACAAACCAAAAAAAAAAAAAAAAGGAGAATCAGTGCGGCATATTAAGATACAGACATAACAATCCAATCCCAGTGAGCCGTGACCCCTTGCTGGTGGTATCACTTGGCACTAAAAGGAATAAATCCTTGTCATATTACCAGAAAACTATTGATTCAGACTCATCGCCAGTAAAAATGACTCCACAAGACACTATGGAACATTAGTCATCTTATGTATTATGCATTAAAGATGAGTTTTCTCCACTCTTTTACCCTTTTACCCCTCTGAGAATGTCACCTGATAAACTTTAATGTGCAGAGAAAGATGGAGCGATACACAACGATCATCCATATTAATCTAAAAGAAGCAGATAGGCATCACATCTTTGAGATTAGTGAAACGTCCTATCCTTTTATCTTAACAGAAAGTGTCCGCCTTGCAAGTTTGTAGCAAATTTGGCATTTCCTTATCCTCGGTAAGTTAGCCAAAGCCGCATCAACACCAACCTGAACATGCTCCACTATGTTTTTTTATCTGCTAGGAGGTTCCGTTGCATGGAAAAGCAGATCTACCAGCATCCAAGTGTCTGAGCCAGCTGAGTCTAACGGCACCGGCGCCTGTCTACCCACGCAGCAGCTGCAGCAGTAGTGAGCTATCCCTGTCAAGTGCATGCAGCGAATTCTCCAGCGGCTCATACACCTGGAATGATGGACGCTCCTGCGGGAAAATGGTAAACCCTCTCACTCTAAAACACCCAAACATCAGTTCTGCAAAAATAGTCATGAGTGGCAGCTAATCAAGGGTTTGAGGCCCTAATTAATCCCTAGTCTTTCTGTGAAGGTCTGTGTACCGTGACTGCAAATGGTGGTTCCCAAATCAGTGTTCGGTATTCAAATAATTAAAGAGATCAGTAAAAACGACCAGAAAAAATTACCTGATGAAATAAAAAATACAGTTTTCAAATGATGATTGAATTGATTTTAAGAACTAGAGCTATATTTACTAACTTGCTGTGAAACAGTGTTATTTTTCTTCCAGATGTACACAAATGTTTCAAAAAAGCTCAACTTTTGTCCCTAAAATACTTTCCTAAAAATCAGATTTGGTTTGGTTTTCGCTTGTTCATTTGACCTTTGAGCGTTCCCAAGGATGTCAGTAATCAGGTCTTGATGTGGCTAGTGAAAGCTTTATCAATAATGTGTTTATTAAAAATTGAGGCATTACTGTTTTTCATAGGACCAGATTGGTTCATTGGTTTGTAGATCAGAAAAGGAAAACTTTGGGAAGCACATTTAAAAGCGTTAAACTCATAACTGAAATGCCATGAGCAGTAAATTATCATTATACATAACATACATTTTTAAGTAACTGTTTCAAACTGATGGTTCAGATCTTCCAAATTGGGTTTTGTAGAAACGTTATGAACCATTTAAATTTTGCCATTGGTAAATAGCTCATTTAAGAGTCTCCAACTGGTAACGTGAGTAATTCAGCCAGTGTTTAGTTACAGTTAAGACGATCCAACTACAACTAGCAAGACAGGATCTTACTTCATAGATCTAAAAGACCCTTTTCAAAAATACTACATTGTTAATCTTCTTTACTTTTGCCCTGAAGTCCTCCTTGACCTGGGAGAAGAGGCTGAGTTTGGGTTCATCAGCTCCCAGCAACATCTGCTTGCCTCCAGAGGAGAAGCCACCCACAAGATGTAAAGAAAGCCACATACTGGAAGGACTGCGAAAACTCCAAAGGAGAAAACACAGAAGCTGTTCGGGTTCGTCCAAGGTCTCTAAATCAGGATACAAAGACTGCATGAACTCCAATGAGGGTATCTACTCGCTGGGTATCAAGAGTAGCAGCAAAGGAGTTTCCAAGCCAACTCATGTTGGCAGAACATCGGCTGCTTGTTGCAAGCTGCTCTTTTATGATTCGGACGATGCTGATGATGAATTGGTGCAGTCCGGGTGCAGAGATAACGTCCCCTCCAAGGACTGTTGGGTTCGCTCTCAGAGGCTCTCCCACAGCGTCTCGGACAGTTTGTGTAGCTGGGAGGGAACCCTGGAAAGTGGAGCTGAAGGTGACGTTACCTCAGGTTCAGTAGTAGCGACCCCCCATTCTGGTTGTGACTCAAAAGAGCGTCCAGAGAGGCTCATTAGTTTTATTAACAGTTTTCTTCCAGAGGGGGGCCAGAAATCAGCTTTTAGTAAACCATCCAAACTGCATTTCCACCCCTGTGAGGCCGGGGGTCTGAAACGCTTCCCTGACATGGATGTTTCAGAGGTCAACTCTGAAGATGTCCAAATGTCCTGTAACCAGCTGCCAGAGCAGGCAGAGAGGGACTTTAAGAGGCTGTCAAGGGATGCTGCCAAGCTCTTTAAACAAAAATACCTGCGGAAAGACCAGGTACGCACCCAGTCTGCAGACGGGAGGCCCAGGCCTTTTAGCCTGATGAAGCCAAAAGAAACCAGTTGCACCCAGTCTGAGGAGAGCATATTAGCAATTTTTGATGCAGAAGGGGAACCCATTGAACTTTGTCCCCAGAAACTTGTAGCAGGTGCAGATAGCAAACAAGGTAGCAAAGTTGTTCCTAATTATGCAGAGCTAGTGCCCCAAGAGAGGCCAACGCGGCAGAAACCTGCAAATGCAAGAAACTATAGTGTTCTTGAATCCCCAGAAAAGCCCTCAGAATGTGAGACTAGCAAAGCAAGCAATAGCAGAGAAGTAAGTGCAGAGAGACTGGAAATGGAGCTGACTCCTCAGAGAAAACTAATCAAACCACCAAGCAGGCGAGTGGCTAAAGGTCACTCCATCCCAGCTATGAACGACACTAAGGCTGGTGCTTCAAAAATTCCTGGTCGTAACAAACCATCTGCTTCACCTCAGAGACCTTCTAAAACAACTGAGCCAAGTAGTACAAACTCGGGACCGTCAATTGAGGACAAATCCCCCTGTTCTCCCACAGTAAAAATGTCCAGATTCATCAAGACACAGGCAGTGTGTTCTCAGAGCCCAAAGGCCACAAACTCTAAGCTGCCCAGCAGGGCCGAATGGAGTAAGGGTCCCTCATCCAGCTCCCCCCACCTGTCAAGAAGGCACCTAGAGTATCTGGAAACTAGTGAACAACCAACCAGAGACAAACACTGTGAAACTGGCAAAAACAAACTCAGGTCTCCCTCTCCTCCCCCTCCCCCAGGTCGCACCACCTCCTTACTGGTCAGACCAAATTACGAAGGTTCACCTCAAGCACATAAAACAGGAATGGTTCAACCATCCACCCCAACCACTGGGAGGGGCCCTCCCCCAAGTTATCACACCTCACTCACGCCAAATATGCAAACCACTTTACCCATCAAGGATAAAGAATGTTCGGACCTGGACGCAGGCTACGGGACTGCACTTGCACCTCAGAAGCTGGTAGAAAAAACCAGTGAGCACCTTCAAACGTCACCTGCATTGACTCAAACACCAATTAAAGGCACTTCCAAGCGAACAAAAGACTACCTCTCTTCTACCAACTCAGGATGTGCTCGAGAACCTGAAAATGCACCTAGAAGCTCAAAGAATGTTCCTCCTCCTTACAGTGCCCTCAGAGGGTCTTCCCTTCAGAATCCATTTGCAAATAAGAAAGGGCCTACACATGAAAATGCCCATCAGTCGGTTCAAAAGACTTCAATTAGTTTACCTATATCACTTCAAGACTCCCCTCGGTGTCAGACAGTGTCACAGAATGACAAAGTTATCGTCAGTCCTCCCAGCTCAGCTGTTATGTCGCCCAACCACGCAGAGAAAGCCTCAAAGACTCGAATCCCAGTGGGGTTTAAAGCCTCTTTGAAATCTCCTCCTTCCAATAAAAGCAGTCCCATTGTACCAGGCAAACAAGAGAAAGATCATATCAACTCTGTCTCCAAGGAGACTGTGACTTCAAATGCTTCGACCCAGTGTGAAAGCTTGCAAGGAGTGTATAGTATTGATTTACAGCCCAATATGTCCGTTACAGAGGGGAAAAGTCCAGAGGTCCAGAGTCCCCTGCAGGAAGAGGAAGTTCATGTTGCTGTGGTGTCAACGGAAGGAGATGTTTCTGAAAAGGGGAAAAGAAGCAGTCAACTTTTTGGTAGATCCATATCAGTTAATACAAAAACGCATCTAAAGCCAGCTTTGGGGATGAACGGAGCCAAAGCTCGGAGCCAGAGTTTCAGCACTAACTACATCGAAAAACCCAATGTCAATGTCACAGAAGGACAGGGAAAAGTCAGAACTCAGATCATCACCAACTCAGGTGAACGGGGTAATTCTCTGACCAGACAAAGTTCCTTGGAGGTGCCCGTCGTTGGCTTGGCTGAGAGCCCCATCCATTCCCCTAGGACTCGGCTTAGCCACTATGGAGGTATGACGGGGTCAAATAGTCACGGCTTTCTTAAACCAGGCTCTAAGGTCGAGGGGTCACAAGGTGGCATGAAAGGGGAGGGTGCCGCTTCACCTCATAAAGAGGTGCGTAGCTTACCCGTGAGTGAACGGAATAGTTTCAACAACATTCGAAGACCAGCAAAAGTGGCCTCTCACCCACAGTTTCAGCCTCCGTCCACTTCTGTTTATCACTGGGAAAACTCTTCAAAAGAGACAGAAGGCCTGGTGATAACCCCTACTGAGCCTGGGAAAATAGAGACAGACTCGCCAAACAAACCAACGGACACGGAGGAGAAAAAAATCAGCCCAACAGCGTGCACGATTGAAGAGAAAGTCATGATGGGAATTGAGGAAAACTTGCAGAAATGTCAAGAACAAGAGAAGGTGGCAGCCAGTGAGGCCAAACAAAAGACAGGGCCTTCTCTGGCAAACTGGTTTGGCCTTCGCAAGAGCAAACTTCCAGCTCTGAACAGCAAGAAAACAGACTCTCCTAAAGGAAAAGAAGAGAAGAAAGAGCTGAAGATCGGATCGGTGCTTGGAGGCAAACAGGTGAAATCTGACAAGAAGAAGGAGAAGAAGAAAGACAGCCAGGATGTGCAGAGTCTGACTGAGGTGAACAACAAGCTGAGCTCCATCATGGACCACTGCAATAACCAAATGGGTCAAATCACCAGTCAGATCCAGTGTTCGACAGCATTCATCGGCAAAGACCAGTTCGTCAAAGACCTTCTTGGCAGGTAAGTGAAGCAGCATCTTTTTCATAAGAACATTAAGCATATCTCATCCTTAATTGATTGGATGCAGCACTGATTGCTTCCCGTCTCTTGTTAGAGCCGTCTTTCTGTCAGGAGAATTGACACCTTCAAACAAATCTCTTAAATTAAACATGAGCCATCACTAAATTGCACTTGAACGGATAAACAGCACAAACATCAGCTGTCGGTCTGACTGTGCTCTGGTGAGCATGAACACCTTTCCAACCATCAATCAGCAGACTCAGAGGAAAATATGTTTAGGCTAAGAAAAATGCCACATGTCATAGTTCTCACTTCATTGGGTTTCCACTTCAAATCCCCGCTGACAGATTATTCTCCCCCAAAACACAAAGACACACCACTCCACGAGGTCTGTTAGACATTAAATGGTATGTCTACGTGTTTGTGCCATTCTTGTTTGTACTTCACAAAGCAAAAGAGCAGGTCAGGGCGATTTATCACCCTGATGAGGGAGCTACTCAGCACATAGACCTAAAAACATATTTTATTTCCTCTCAGGACCGCTGTGAAGGTCAGTGCCCTGGCGGTGCCACCACCTTCACTCTCCACGCCCAAGAAGCACGGCGAGCTGAAGGGGGACATGCAGATAATTTCGGATGCTGCCGTAAGTAACGCTTAACTTGGCCACAGCTGTGTGTTTCTGAACATGCAAATTCCCCACAGGTTTTCACACTTTTGTTCACAAAAACATCCGCCTCTTCAGCATCGCATCCCCAGAAGGCTCACTATTGATTGTTTTCTGACTCAGCCTACAGCACAATCCATCGCCTGTTTATTTTTTTTTTATCAGACCAACTCAGGCCGATGCTGTCATTTCCACAAGGTTTCAAACTACAGCTCATCCATGAATCTAATGCAATCTTAAATTAGACTTCTTTTCAGCACTTTGATTGGCCTTTGTAAGCAAAATACTGACGTTATGACCTTATGCTTTATTATCTGCCAGTCAGAATGCAAGGAGAAACTGTGATGGAAAGGCAGAGAGCACTGAAAAGTGTGAGGCAGCAGTAATAAAAGGAAGTAAAAGGAGCAGTCTGATCTGAGAAGGAGAATGACAGTCTGAGAGCATAATGCAGGAAATTTAACCCAGATGATGTGGAGTTTTGATAACACGGAGGAGCCTTTTATCACAGCCACTCCATTCGACAAAAAGGCCATTTAATACCATCCTCTCAGAGCTCTATCTTCTCCCCACAAAGATGGAACAAAAGAGTCACATTTTATGACCCAAAAGCTCCTAAATAGTCTAATTAGAGTGTGAAAAGGAAGGACAATTACCTAATAATGAAGCTAAAAATGTATTTTCATCTAAGAAATCCAGTTACACGAACATATTCGTTTCTTTTGGATTAACGGAAGCTTTTTAAATTAATGAAATGTTCTGGAATGTTCCTATTTTAGACCCTTGTTATGACTCAGAAGATCAGTCTTAAAGGTGAAAACCAAGATGGACACATCCCAGACTCGACCTGTCAAGACCACATGATAGGTAAGCTTCACAAAACAGTTTTTTTTTAAATCAAAATCGACTGCATCTGCTAACTCCGTTTAACCAAGTTGGATATCATGTTCCGGCTCTGGCTTTCACACCTGCATGTCTCATTCTCACCCTGCAGAGGGTACCTCCTGTATGAAACATTGTCAGTAACTGATTACTGAGATCTGTTCTTTCTGCTAGACTGAGAATCAATAAAGGAAAGATGCACTGTTGCACACACACACACATATATATATATATATATATATATATAAATGTGTGTGTGTGTGTGTGTGTGTGTGTGTGTGTGTGTGTGTGTGTGTGTGTGTGTGTGTGTGTGTGTGTGTGTGTGTGTGTGTATAGTACAGTGGGGCAAAAAAGTATTTAGTCAGCCACCGTGAATTCACATGGCAGGATTTTTAAATGACGTTAATTTTGCGATATATTGTGCAGCCCTGTTTATGACTATCAATCACGTATGTGTAGAAGTGACAACATAAGGCTTGTTTTTCCCCATAAAGAGGAAATGAAGAATATCTCTGCACAACTCTGAGTACAAATACATCTGCAAGGGTTGGATATCATTATTGATATTGATCGATATAGAAATTTTCTTTTTTTTTTCATTTCTTTTTTTTTTGTTGCTTTTCCTGGTTTTTAAAATTGACTTCATGGCCCTGCAATATGTGGTCGTAGAAGGTGGACCTCCAGTTTTTGCAATCTTATATCCCATGTGGACTTTAGAATTAGAGTCAACCCTTTTCATCTGATTGTTGTCTCCATGATTACTCTTCTCCTTTTTGGTGCATGAAGCAGGTTCATTCAGTGGAAGCTTCAGCGTTTTCCCTCTGACCCTGCAGGTTGTGTACAGAAGCCGTAGGGAGCTCATGAAAAACTAGATTACGTCCCCCTGTTTTTGCCGCTGGGTAGAATTACCTTGGACCTTGTTATAGTTTGGATATAGAGGGCATTTTGAACTGCCAGGCTTGGCATTCAATTACCCACCAGCGTAATCGATGGTTCTTTTTGCCTTTCTCTTCTACACACATCCATGGGTGTATGAAGGTTTTTTTTCTTCATTTGTTCCAGTGCATATGAATGTCCTGGTGTGTTTCACAGCACATGTGTAGAAATGACAAGCCATCTGGTGGATGAACATAACGAACATCCAAATGCTGATGGTTTCAAAAAGTCCCCATTAGCAACTCTAGACAGGTCTTGTTTAAATGCATGCAAGTGATAGAACAGCAGCTAAGGTGATGAAATTGTAACAAAAATACCAATTTGGCACAAAGTTAAGGAGTAATCAGTTCATGTAACTGTTGCAGTTCCCCAGACCTGGAATTCACTCAAAACCGCCCATCCGCTTCATCCTGAATCAAGACATCTTCCTTCTAGTGTTGTCAAAAAAATCGATACCTAGATATAAATTGATACTAAAGTGGTATCTAAATTAGATATTCCATCCCTGTGGTATCGATATTATGGACTATTATACACAGCCTTCTTCAAGTACACCGACACGCACGACAGCCAGATGCCGTAAAGCAACCTCCACCTCCCAGACAAACAGAAGAAGAAGACGCAGCATGGCTACATTGCAATTTCCCACGCGAGTTGTCTCCAATCCAAGTTTTGTCTGCCAAATAAATAAACAAAAATATAAACAGCGAATTTGGGAGGCGCTTCACAGCCCAACTTCATTAGCATACCAAGTCCGACACGTAGTTGTATATTCACGCTTAAGTGCTTAAAGGAAAACTCCCATTTATTGCAACCCGGACTTGATTTCTAGCATGCAGTATGTTTGTTTACTCACGCTGACAACTTTGGTGCTACTTGGATTCCCCGGGGTATTTAGATCCATCGGCGAATCGCCATCAGTGTATATCCATATAACGGGTGCGGACGGGCACCCATGGTGCAGCCTCGAAATAACACATAATCTGCACCAAAACACATCTTTATGTCGAAAGGTTTTGTTAGGAATCATTAACGTGATTCCCCTGTTCGTTTGGAGCGGGTCTGGGATTTCTAGGCGTAAACAGACTAGCTGCGGCTAATTAACCGGCGCTTTTAATGACGTCACTGCCGTGCGCCAATCTGTTTTTATTAAGATTACCGGTAGATGTACCTTTGTCCTACTGTGGAGAAATTTGTTTTCTCCCTTTATTGACCAACAGAGTTGTTCAAAAGTACAGAACAAAACATATTACAGCTTATGACAAAAATGCACCTTAAACAGAGTTTAAGCAGCAAAACATCACTCTGCAAATAGTGTATATATAGTGAGACAATTCATGATTAAAAGTGTTAACTTTCGCCAGTTTTTGTATGCACGTTTTAAAAAATGCTGATACTTGAAAGGTTTAAGCACTTTATACACTTAATTTTTAACATTTCATTTTTGCAATATAAATTGAGGAATGTTATTTTTTGAATAAACTTGTTCAATAAATTGGTGTTTTCAAATAGTATCGAAATTGAGTATCGAGTTTTTTTTCAAGTATCAAATCGAGTTTGAAATTTTAGTATCGTGACAACCCTACTTCCTTCTGATCTTCCCGCTCTATTGAATTGTATTATTGTGCACTCTAGTGATAACAGTCTCCTTCAGCTGTTCAATGACGCTTTATTTTTTCTCCTTTCTACTTTGACCTACTGAAGATTCCCTGTTTACTCACAATCCCTTCCGATGCATGTGAATCTGACCTCACCCATTCCTTCAATCCATGTTGTCTCCCAGTCGTCACACTCCTGTCCCTGTCCCTCTAGGCTCCAGCTGCCAGATGAGAACTCTGGACAGCGGCATCGGCACCTTCCCCCTCCCTGATTCTGTCACCCGTGCCGGCGGTCGCCACATCCCCAAATCTGAATCCAGCCCAGGTGGGGTGACCGCCGGCTCCTCCGAGCTCCGACAAGAGCCTCAGTCATTGTCTCACCCCGACCCCTCACAACCCGATGTGAAAGTGCCTTCCCTTCCAAAATCCGACACGCACGCTCCCAGCAGCACCTTGGGTCACTCCCTGTCTGACCCCACTGTAACCTGCAGTCGAAACTCCCAGGACACCCAGAGCCGCCTGCCCAAACTGGCATCCTCAGGTCAGTCATCCCTCAAAATATAACAGAATGTTGTCTGCATAGAAATGAATGAGTCTGCAATCTAAAAGTGGACCAAGGGAGGACCAAGGATCTCACTGGGAGGGGCTATATAACATAATTTGAGAGTTTCTTCTAACTGAGACAGTTTAGCAAACAATCAAAAGAAAATCAAATAGCACAACGGAGTTGAAACCAAATTTGACAAATAGAAATTGGGAGAAAAAAAAACACGTAGCACCTGTGAAATCCACTATTACCACATCAGTTGCAACAGCAGGGCCTCAAGACAAGCAGACGAGAAGAAGTCGTTTGGTTTATTAAACCGTGATTAAGCGTAGAACCTTGTTTGCTCAGCTAATTGAGAGGCTAATGCATCAGCGCCGACATCCGACTCTCACCTGAGATCGCTGAAACCGGGACGCCTCGAGAAAAAACAAAGACAGCAAATGTAATTAGATGGGTATGTCAGCACTGCTATAGATCATGAAAGCAGCCCGTGCCTAGGCGCAGGCCGTGATCAACGGCGGAATGGTTGATTAAAGCTGCACCAACGTGCAAGGATGGGTGACAAGGCAGAGATTTATGCTTACAGTACATTAGGCTGCATCTGTGCCCCATTGACGGCACTGCAGAGGCAAGAGATGGACTGCTTACTGCAGAACAAGATGACTATTAGACTGAAACAGCTCCATCTTCAGCGTGTTTTAACCTTTTAACCTTTCTAATGTAGAGGAAAAGAAAAATAACAAAATCTTGCCTGAAAAGACCCAATGTCTGTCACAAAGCTTGAGAGGGAAGAGGTGAAAAATGTTCTAAAGCAGCCCCGCTATTCTAATGCAGCTGAACGACTTTGGCATGAAAGAGAAGCTTCCTGAATGTGAGACAGTTAGATCGGTTCCTCTCTGCAGTAGTCGGAGCCATAATAAGGGCCTCTGACAGAACAATAGAAACCCGGACACCATTAACACTATTGTTGGGATTCAAAGCAGAGATGGAAAAATGTACCTGAAGCCGTTTGGATGGGTTTTTACTAGGATTGGGCAGCCGGCTGAATAAAACGCATAAAACTTCATCTTCCTGCTGCCTTGGATTTGGCATATTTATGTTTCATCTAATTACCGCTCACTTCCTGATTTGCTCCTCGTTAATCTCTCTCCACATTTAGATGCCATCAGGACGACGAGGTTGGGTCTTTGTGCCCAACGCAGCAACTTCTCAGGTTCCATGGAAGAGAAAGAAGTAGAGAGGAAGATAAAAACCAAGGAGCTCGACACGACTGGCGTAAGTCTTACAATTGTTTACAGAAAAAAGGTTAAAGAAATGCAAAAAAAAAAAATAATAATTGTTTTGTGCTTTAAGTTGATTATGATGCCAGAAAAAGCATACTTTGACGAGCGGTCAATGTGCTAACAACGCGTCAACACAAGTATTTTACGAGTGTCAAATTCGCACGAGTTCAACCCGCAAACAACACGAAAATAACGCGTAGCTAATGTGTTGTCTAAGCGCTGTTTTTAACTTAATTTCATGCATTTTAGTGATGGGAATTCCGGCTCTTTTTAGAGAGCCGATTCTTTTGGCTCAGCTCACCAAAAGCTCCCAAGTGGCTCCTCAGATTCTCTGTTGCGTAGAGTACATTTATAACCAAAATAATGCAAAATTATATGTAAAATGATTTAATAATGTAAAAAAATGCAATATATCAAATATTTATCATTTCTATGGATTTAATAACTGAACACTTTAAGAAATCTCCACTTTCCGACTGCTGGCGCTCATTTTCTCACCGTCTTCGTCACACTCTCCTCCCTCTCGCTCGCCTTTTTCCTCCTCCTCATTCCCTCTCGTCTCCCTCCACCCGCACGTGCTCTGCTGTGTGTCTGAGTCTGATCCTCCCTCTTCCCCGCCCCTACTGCTCTGTGTGTGGACAGTCTGGACACGCAGTTACACATGCTGACCAATCGCCTGTAGCGTTCACCAAAGGAAAAGGGGAGGGGGAGGGGACGGCCCGGCTCCCATCGTTCACTTCAAAGAGCCGGCTCTTAGAGCCGGTTCGTTCGCGACCGACACATCACTAATGCACATTTGCATCGGCGCAGCATGGCGTTGCGTGTCTTCGTACCCCTGCAGACGGAAAACTATGAATCAGGCCTTTGTCAAAAAGTATCCTTAATTTGTTTGTTAACTTCATTTTATTTGCTTGTTTTACTCCTAAAAAAACTCATATTTACTCACACTTTTTAAACTCACACTAAGGAAATTAAGAAGGTTTTCAGGTGGGGTTCTGATTGCCCACAACAATTCTGCCACTCTTTCGAGAGGAAAACATTCGAGCAACATATTTAAAGTTTCAGTAATTAAACGTGAGGAAAAGGAGAACCCTAGCAAAGGATTTCAAGAGGTTTTTGAAACTGCCTTTCTAATGCTGTTTGAAAATCACAGCCTAATGAGATCTTTGTAGAGAGCCTAAACTATTTTAGTGTTTTCTTAAACAACTTTACCTTCCAAAAAATAAATTCTTAAAATTGTGTTTCATCTGCCGCAGGAAAGTAAGAATCTGCAACGCTTTGCTTATGGAACTGAGATGTTTTAAGATTTCCTTGCATAAATTGTCTCAGTTTTGCCACAAATGCATAAATACTGTCATTTATTTAAAAACAACCATGTGTTTTATGTCATTAGAAAACAGCCCTGCAAGTGTGCACCTACTCAGGCAGCAGCAGTGACACAGAGACCGAACCGGACCAAACCGCAAGCCCCTTGACTTCGCCATCAAGAACCCTAATCGAGAGAACCCGGAGGACCGACTCTGGTCTGGTTGGACATATTTAAAGATTCTTGTATTTGATCTTGTGACTCTTTGGTTAAAACCCTTCTCTCTGTTTGCAGTGGAGCAGAATGAGGACACCCTGAAGAGACAGAGCGTGGAAAAGTCCCTGTCCATTATGGATTACTACCAGCATGAGGTGTTCTCACAGCTGGAGAAGGACAACAGGAGGATTTCACAGTATAACCTGCTGCACAAAGAGTCGTCTCTCGATGGCAAAGCAGCAGATCTGCTGAGTGTGAGTATTTACTTTTCAAGATAGTTCGTCAACAATTTTTGCAAATTAAGACAAGAAACATGCGGTTTGATTAGGAATCGTGTGTTATGGCCTTTTGGTCGTAGTATGTTTGAAGAAAGATTAAAAATAAAGCCTCCCTGTCTTATAGGGTTAGGGTTTGTTGAAACTGTTGAGAAAACCATGCCCTCTTTGGAACTCTATCTCAGGTAGACGTCACAGTAAAAACATCATTCAGGGTTTAAACAGGCCACAGGAACTCAGTCTGTACATGATTAGACCGGTGTTGAGATATCTTCGTTGATTTTGACAGTCACAGTTTAGATTCAACACATTCTCACTCCCAGTAAGTCAAAAACAAGCGCTTGGTAAGCAGCCCCCCCCACCCCCCACCCCACCCCCATCCCCCGCGTCACACCTTCGATGCCAAAAGTGCCCTTTTTTGTCACTTATTTACGAACAGGGGTTCCCGTCATTCAGTTCATAGAGCTGGCTCTTAGAGCGGCCGACACATCACTGACGTGTTCGCTAGCAAGATGGTTAAGGTTAGGATAGGGGTGAGGGGAAGGTTAAATAGCAAGAGGATAAGGTTAGGGTGAGGTACAGTGAGCTTGTTTGGTGCCCTGGCTGCGGACATCCCATCACATCAGTTTTACGCCGGGGAGACACCGGCAGCCGAAGCGCTGCGAAACATGGACCGCCTTCAATCGACGCCCTTGTTATCCTATTCTATAGACCGCATGGGCCGCCAAAGCACCGCGTGCCGGCGCTCCAGCCCGCACCGTGCAGCGATCGTTTTGGCATCTGCTCTATTTTTTTCGCGAGCCGCGAGTGAACCGCGTCAATTCTGGCTGGAAGTCAAATCTAGACATAAGAGGCAGGCCGGTAAATTTAACAAAATAAAGCATTTCAAAATACCATTCCGCGATAGTCAAATGTGTTCGTAAACAGATACTGCATAAAAACCACACACACACACACACACACACACACACACAGACACACACACACACACACACACACACACACACACACACACACACACACACACACACACACACACACACAGACACACACACACACACACACACACACACACACACACACACAAGTTCCCAGTACGTCAAAAACCATGTGTGTGTGTGTGTGTGTGTGTGTGTGTGTGTGTGTGTATGTGTGTATGTGTGCGTGCGTGTGTGTGTGTGTGTGTGTGTGTGTGTGTGTGTGTGTGTGTGTGTGTGTGTGTGTGTGTGTGTGTGTGTGTGTGTGTGAAATGAAATGGTAATTATTTTGTGGTTTTGTCACATTTTAAACTCTTACTGGGTTTTTTGTTTGTAGAAGCATAAAAACTATATTTGCACCCTATTTATTTAATAAATAAGTCAAGATTTGCATCATTTCCATCCAGTCCGAGTCAAAGTCGACTTTACCTCTAAAACACTCCCTGAAGCACGAACAAATTCACTTATTCTCCCACTGCTGACATTGTTTACACTCCAAGGTGTTCTTGGAATTATTTGTAGATTTTCTGTTGTTTTTTTTCTTGACTTTTAAGATGACGCCCCTAATTGCTTTCGATCGCCTCGGCCTCTCGTGCCAGCAGGTATTTGCCTACAAGTATTTAACACCTCGGAATGACAAATGAGGATCAGAGAGCATGAAATGGCCTCCAGTCCGAACGGGCGCAGCTCGATAGGACGCGTACGCGCTCTCTCCACCTACAGCGCTGCCGTCCCACCACTGACCCGACACAAAAATCCATACGCTGCATAAAAAAGAAAAAAAAACTGACTCAACATAACTGTTTACAAGGAGAGGAGAAGAAAACATCTATACTTATGTAGGGAACAGGTTTCTAACCCTTAACGTGTAGCCAGATTTTATTTTGAGACTGCTTTTATAAAAGTGTCATCAAGAAATTCAACAACTATGGATTAGAGGGATTGTTTTGTTTATAGTTTTAATATCAATGGTAATAGAAAGTTCAACTATCGTAGAACTTTTTGGGTTGGGCATGGATCCAATCTGAAGAAAAAGGGACAATTAAGCTCAATATTTAATATTTACTTTGTTCAAATCAGTGAATCTTTCTGTCTTTGAGGTCAAGATTCCTACATTTTTTTCATTTAGGAGTTAGAATCTTTATTTTGCTTTTAGGGAACATTCACATTTTTTCTATTGGCCCACCCGCAAAAAAAAAACAAGAAAAAATATTATTTTTCTAACTCTAACTTAATTCATTATTAATTACATTAGTTGTTTTCTAAGAAACGTTTTAGAAGTGGATCACCATATTAGTTTTTTTAATTTCTAACAATTGTCCACATTATTAGGTTTATTTGTTAAGTTTCAGCGTATGTCCTTTAGATTTTTGGCTGTTTGTTTTATTTAAAGGGACTTTACAGAGTTTTGAATTTTTATGCTCGTGATTGCCCCCTCAGGCCAAAAGCGTAACGGCAGCTTCAATAGTAGGCTCGTGCACGAGGCGCGCATGCTGTACGTGCACACTCCTTAACAAAAATAACAGCTGAGACAGTCCCGTGTGTGTGTGTGTGTGTGTGTGTGTGTGTGTGTGTGTGTGTGTGTGTGTGTGTGTGTGTGTGTGTGTGTGTGTGTGTGTGTGTGTGTGTGTGTGTGTGTGTCTGTGTGTGTGTGTGTGTGGCCCGGAGGACAGAGGACAGGAGAACACGCAGCTAATTAATTAAATAATTTGGTTCTGTACCTTTCTCTTCAGCACAGCTGACAAAGGTTTAAGATGGGTCAGTCCTCCTGCATGCTCAGATCATTCCCTTCCCTTGCTTGAAAAATTGTTCCAAAATGAAAGTTTAACCCACATCTTTTTTATCTGTGAATTTAATGCCGTTCGGAGAGTCTCAAATAAAGATTTGGGCATCTTACTGTAAAAAAATATACCATTAATGTAAAAAATAAACTCTAAATAAACTATGTTCACACCCAGAATCGAAACCAGGGCTTCTGCACGAGAGTCTGACGTCTTACTAGGTGAGCTAAAGCGCCAGTGACATCTTTTGTATCTTTAACTTTTACATCCTTGATGACAGCTGAAACAACGTTCAAGGAATGGTTCGGAGTGAAAATGGCTATTTTGTTGCTAATTTGCAGGAAATATCTAGAAGAAAGTAGCTAAGGGTCCTCAGAAATGTAGCTAGGTTCGTCACTAGGCGTTAGGAGCACTACCTCTCTCTCTCTGCTGCTAAAGCTACGGATAGCAAATGCTACGAGCTATGCCTGAGCGTGAACGCACATTCAGCAGCTTGCTCGACCCGAGCAGCTCTCTTTTTCTGTGATTTTACAGAAAAACAGGCAATCACAGTAAAAATGCCAGGGCTCATTCTACGGGACCAGGGCATTGCAGGAGAATGTATGAAGAAGAAATTTATTATTTCTATACATGTTTTGACTGTCAAACTTCCATAATGCCCCTTTAATTTAGGATCCCAGTGGTAGGCTAAATAAACATTCAGATAACATAATAAAATGATCTCATTGATCAATGTTGTTGATTTATTTATTTACCTTTTATTTAAACAGGCTTAACCTTACTGAAAAATAACTTCTCATCTTCAAGAGAGAGACGTGTTCCAATCATTAATATTATCAAAGGAGTGGCAAACAAACAACGTTACCATAAGTGTTTAAAACATGTAAGATATTATTTCAAAGCTATGATTAAGAACAGAAGGAGAAACCTACTGCTTTGTTTTGTGTCATTTTGACCCACATATTGAATAAATAGGGTTAAAATTAACACGTAAAAAGTTTTTGAGATTCATGGAAAAAGCAACAAAAACATTATAATGTTGCTCTGGAAATTCATGTTGGAAAGTAAAAGGTCTTTTCAGCATGTTGGATTTCTTCCTTGTGCAGAATCTTTATTTACTTTAAAAAAACAGAGTCAGGAGAGGAAAAAACATTTTATCTTATTTTTTTAATCCCAGCTGAGAGGCGAAGCATGAGCAGGAAGTTGGACGCTCCTCGGGGCAGTCCAGCTGAAATCATGACTCAATTATCTGACTTCAAAACGAAACATGACGAGTGGAGCTGCCGTGTTCGACTCTTTGAAGCATCTGTTTTAATAGTTTTTTTAACAAAGAAATGAGGCTCTCAGGAGCTGAAGACATGAAGAAAATCAAGTGTAAATACTCAAAGTGATCTCATTTCTAGCGTTATTTTTCTTTAGCTTAACTCCAGCCCCGTGGAGCTGCAGCTCTAATGATGGATGACTGCTGCTGAACCCATTTAGCCTACATTATTCTACTGAAAAAGACAATCTATCTGGTGTCACCCTCCCTTCTCACCCCTGGCCGGGCTCCTCCACACCTGGCGAGCCACTCTCCTTTTGTTGTGGCTTGGGAGCGTTCCACTCAGGAGGCGCTGTCACCGGCTCCGGTTCAGGGAAGTTTGTCTGCTCCCAGGTCCGTGTCACGGAACTGTGATTTAAGCGCCTTTAATAACCTTTCACAAACACTCAGGAGAGTGATGTAAAGCTCGGCGGCTCCCATCAGAGTCCTCACAGCCCACGCTGGCCTCCCATTCATCATCCTGACAACACCTGACAGGCCTGCTAACGGCAGCCCCCGCCCCCTTCTCCTCCCATCCTCGCCCTCTCTCTTACCTCTGTTTCTGCTATAACTCTCTTTGTTTCTCTGCTCTAAACACATTTGGTCTCTCCATTCATTTTTCTTCCTGAATCCCCTTCCCAAATCTAACTTTTCTCATTTCCCAAGCATTCCTGGCTCATGCAGGAAAACGTCATTACCACCTATGCCATGGTGCAGTATCAGCAATGTAATGGAGAATCCTGAACTTTGCACAAAAATATTTTGCAACTATGCAGCATGTAAGGCATGCCTCATTAGCTGGGAATGTGTGGCAAAAAAAATGGGTACCAGGACGAATGCAAAACCATATCTGAGCACAAAGAAAGGCAGCAGCGGAAATATGTGGAGCTTAGGGTTGGGGTTAGAGGTTAGGTTAGGTTA